TATGTGGAGACAGAGGAAGAATTTGAGGCCAAGTTGCACTTGGTCTCCCAAAGGAGGCAGCAACAGTCACTTCTGTGGGGCACCTGCCAGGTTGTTATAAAAGTGTCAAGGCTAGTGACTGTGCAGCAATCCAATTGCCTCTCTTCAGTCTTAGGGGAACAAAATGCAGGGTCATTGATTTTGCAAAGGCTCCTTGTTTTGTGCCATAAGGAACATGATGTAAAAAATAAAATTCCGGAGCACAAGGGGACACAACTAGCACAAAACTAGCTAACTAACCAGTATGATGTAGTGGTTAGAGTGGTAGCCTGAAACTTGGGAGACCCAGGTTCTAATCCCCATTGAGCCATTCGATTCTGGGTATTTGGGGGTTGTTGACACACATGACTTCTCTAGCACTAGTACTCATGATAGTTCCTTGATATCCTATCTTTAAAAAGGTGCAAAAGCATCTTATAGCTAAAATATATATAAAATTTAGAAACAACTACAAAAGCAGTACAGTCAGACCTTCATACCCAAGGATTCTGCATCCATCAATTCATTCAAACATGGTTTGAAAATATTCACACACCAGAAAAAAATCACCCCAAACCCCCAAATCTTTATTTTGCCATTCTATATAAGGTATGCCAGTTTACTACACCATTGTATATAACAAGACTTGAGCATACATGGATTTTGGTATCCTTCGGGGGGGGGGCTCCTGGAACCAAACTCCACCTGATACTGAGGGACCACTGTATATACTGTAGTTTGAAACACTCCTCCCCAAAAATCAAATTATGTCAATTGATCTGAAAAAAATGGCAAAGTTTTCTTCCCTACCCAGGAAGTCTCAAGGACTCTTGCTGGCAGGACTTTACTCACCTAAAGACAGCCTCCAAATCCCAAACAGTTACCTACCTACAGAAGGACACACAATACAGATGAGCACATGGGTAAAAAGCCTTGCCCTTACCACAAACCCAGATGCCAACTCTGCCCATACATTTACTCAGGAAATGTCATCACCCACAATATGAGAGGGACTTTCACATGCTCATCCCCTAATGTGATTTAAGCCATACTATGTCAGCAATGCCTATCAGCACTTTATATTGGGCAAACAGGCCAGTCTCTGCACCAGAGGATAAGTGGACATAAATCAGACATTAAGAATGGGAATACCCTTCAATGTTCCTGGGCCTTCCATCTTCGACCTCAAAACAGCAGTCCTTCAACAACAACAACAACAAACTACAAAGGAAGATTGGAAAGAAATAGCAGAATTGGAATGTATCCACAAATTACAGTCCACCAACAGTGGGTTGAACAGACAATGGTTTTGTTAGAAAACCTTTGCATTCTCTTTCCCCCTCCTTAGATAGATAAGGATTTCTTCCCTCTCTCTCTCTCTCTCTCATTCAAAAACTAACGATGTGATTTAGGTCATACCTTCTTTGGGACTAACAGTACTTTCTCTTAAGATTTTCAACTGAGCTGTTCCCATCTTCTTGCTCTCTCAACTTTATTTTGAAAAATGGCGAGATAAATCTTTCTCTTTACCTGAAACATTCACTAGTTAGATTAGGATATAGCTTTTTGTGTAAATATAGATTAAAACCTTGTTTTTAAACTACAAACTACGTGTTAGTTATTTCTTGAGTCAGTATCCGTTCTTAGGAAAACATACGGCCTGTACAGACTGCCAGAAATAATCCAGTTTGAGACCACTTTAACTGTCCTGTCCCAATGCTAGGGAATCATGGGAACTGTAGTTTATTGTGGCACCAGAGTTCTCTGACAGAGAAAGCTCAATTCTCAGAAAAAACTACAATTCCCATGAGTCCCTAGCATTGGGCCAGGACAGTTAAAGTGGTCTCAAACTGGATTATTTCTAGCAGTCTGTAAAGGCCCATAGTTAGGCAAAGTCACTCTTCTGCTACTCTGCTGTTTTAAAGCCAGACTCTTAACAGGTTTGGCTTTTATATTTTAATATTTAAATATTTTTGTTTCCTTAAAAGGCTGAAGCCTTAGGAAACTTAAATTACCCCATAGGTTTCCTGGCACACTACACAAATTATAACACTAGCTCTCTTGGCCAGTTCATCACATCTTCTTTTTGATTCCCATATTACATCCCAATACTCATTCATATGGTTATCCACTCACTTTGGCTTTAGGCAATATCCTTCCTCCTGCCTTGTCCCCCAACAAGACCATTATTAAAACTGAACTTGTCATCTCATCTCCACACCCACAAAGTTTGAATTCCTATGGACATTCCCACACACAGATTGCTTATATAGGTCTGTGCCTGGACTTTCCACTCTACCCCAAGCATCTGAGGAAGTGGACTCAAGTCTACGAAAGAAAGCTCATGCTACCAACTTCTCTCTTTCAGTTAGTCACAAAGATGCTACAAGATCCCTTTGCATACTGATTTTCCAGACCAACACAGCTTTGTCTTTGATTTCTACCATTCCTGTACACTTAATCTGCATTCCTTCCTGTCATTTGCAGCCAGGTGTCTTTCCTGCACTTGGATCAATAATGAATGAAACCAAACAAGGAAATACCAGCTGAGTGCATTGCACAATGCCTTGGGGGTATGGAAAGAGAAAACCCAGCACACATAATGCTTCCTCCTTCACCTTTTCTCAAGGTATAGTCTCAAAATGATTCTCTGCAGATTAGTCGTGCATAACAAGATATAACTAGGGTTGTTAAAGGTTATGATTTTCCCCATCTTATGTTAATGAACAATTATTGGCAAAATAAGGATTCTATTTCACATCAGCTATTATAAATTCACATTAAGGACTGGCTGTTGTTCTGAATTAAATTTATCTGAAGTAAAGACCTATTCTGTCAGCACAGAAGTGCTGGAGAGTAGCTTCCACTAAAGAGCAAGCGGTACTGGGACAGATGGACACATACCCCTACCTGGTACAAGTCATTTTCTGAGATTGGTGTTTTAAGTATAGGCATAATAAAGTAGGAGAGCCAGTGTAGTGTGGTGGTTTGAATATTGGACTATGACTCTGGAGACCAGGGTTCAAATCCCTGCTTGGCCATGAAATCCTACTGGGTGACCTTGGCAAAGTCATACTTTCTCAGCCTCAGAGGAAGGCAAAGGCAAACTTCCTCTGAACAAATCTTGCCAAGAAAACCCCATGATAGCCTTAGGGTCACCTTAAATCAGAAACAACTTGAAGACACAACAACAACAACAACAACCACAACAAAGTCAAGCTTGCGAAAATTACTTTTATGGAGAACAAGTTCCAGAATCACCCAGCCAGCATGTTGGTGGATTCGAAGATTTGTGGTCCAAAAAGTACTTTGACTATGCTCTACTATATTAAAGGTAAAGGTATTCCCCGTTGACAAGGTTGTCAAGTCTTGTCCAACTGTAGGGGGTGGTGCTCATCTCTGTTACTAAGCCAAAGAGCCAGCGTTGTCAGAGACTACTCTGCGATCATGTGGCCAGCATGATTGCACAAAACGCTGTTTATCTTCCCACTGAAGTGGTACCTATTTATATTCTTGCATTTGCTAGGTTGGTAGAAACTGGGACTAGTGACAGGAGCTTACCCCATCATGCAGCACCTGGGCCTCGAACTGCCAACCTGCCGATCTTGCACTCAACAGAGTCAGCATCTTAACCACTTGAGCCACCGCATCTACTATACTATGCCCAATTTAAGAAACCATCCTCAGAAAATTTGTACCAGGTTGGGTTATATGTCCATCTAACATAGTATTGCTTGGTCTGACTGGAAGATATTCTGCAGACTGAAAACTTTTTCCCATCATCTGCTACTTATCCTTCTAAAAGGATACAGAAAGCACTTTTTCGATTGCTGAGCTATAATCTGTCAAACTGCACTATTACTCAGCCCATTTTACCAACAGAAAACAGCTTGGCCCAAATATCATAATGATTTTAATAAACAGAATGCTAGCACCTAAGACTAACTTGCCACATATGGGATAATGCTTGTCCCGGAGTGAAATGAGACACTTTCCTGGTCTTTTGGTTACATAGTCAAATTTAATGCTAGAGGAACTCCTGTTCAATCCATCCCTTAGTGGGAGCAGGTGTCAAGCCTGTAATAATGATGCACAGGATAAAACAACATTTTGATAACCAAGATTAGCAAACTGATCCACAGTAGAACAAAAGCACACATGGCTTTTTGATGGGTACTGCAAGAGAACATCCATTTCCATCAAGCCACATTCATCCTGCTGTACTAAATCCATTGGATGTCAGATGCGCTGTTGCATGGCCTATGAAACATAAGAACTGCCTTTCTGGATTAGATCAAAGCCACTCAAGTCTAGCAGTGTGTTTCTTTCCTTAAAGAACCCAGACAGGTGCTTCTGCAAACTCACATGCAGAGCATGAAAAGCAACACCTGCACCTTGTCCTCAGGATATCATACGCAAACATATACTGTCCCTGAATAGCAAGGTCTCATTTTTTTAGTAGCCAGGGTTAATCTGACCTATCCTCCATGAGCTGTAATATAACTAAGGTCCAAAACACACTGCAGAAATAATCCAGTTTGAAACCACTTTACCCGCCCTGGCTCAGTGCTAGGAAATCCTGGGAACTGTAGTTTATTGTGACCCCAGAGCTCTGTGACAGAGAAGGCTAAATGTCTCACAGAAGTATAGAATTCCCTAGCATTGGGCCAGGGAAGTTAAAGTGATCTCAAACTGGATTATTTCTGCAGTGTGTTTTGGACCCAAGTTAGTGTTGTAGCAAGGTGTCCCACACTTTACTGTATTATTTGCAAGATAGACAAATTCTTTTTATCTTGAACTTCCCGGCATTTAAAAGGTGAACCAGCATGGCTAAGTGCAGGGGTAGGCAACCTTTCCCCTTTAAGGGCCAATGGACTGCAGCTCCCAGAATCCCAGGAGCTATTGGCCAACATGGGACTACTGGCCAACATGGCTGAGGCTTCTGGGAGCTGAAGTCCCTCGGCCCTTAAAGGGGAAAGGTTGCCTACCCCTGGTTTAGTGGTTTGAGCATGGGACTGTGACTCTGGTGACCAGGGTTTGAATCCCTAGTTGGCCATGAAACCCACTGGGTGATCTTGGGCAAGTCACACTCTCTCAGCCTTAGAGAAAGGCAATGGCCAAAAAAAAAAAAACCTTGAAGAAATTGTACCAAGAAAACCCTGTGATAGGTTCACCTTTGGGTTGCCATATGTCTGAAATGACTTGAAGGCACACAACACACACTCCTAGCAATTAGTTCACCTGAAGATAAAGAATCCAAGTGCTCCGAAAGAGGGCAAGAGTCATTTCTATTTGCTTAGCCCATGTTATACATAATTTCACAAAAGCCCTTTCTTAGGTAAAGGCAGGGTGGAAGGGGGTTACTACTTCTTTATCTAGGTGACCATCTGAACACAGGGCTCTTCTGTATCATGCTATCCTTTTTCCTTTTATAGGGCAAGCCAAGCATGTTCTCCTCTGGTTGAGCACAGCATCCAGCCATGACTTTAATTGCATATCAGCCATCCCAGGGACAATCACAGCAGAAAGCATCTCCACATCATCAGTGAAGGAACGTGACCCTTTCAGCCAACAATCCCCAAGATTTGGAGAAATCACACAACTAAAGGAGATAGAAACAACCTTCTATTTGGTGGCCAAACACCAAATGCATGCATGTGGGTGAACCCTTAAGGAAAATAAACACAAACTGAAGCATGAGTGACTGAGGCATGGGAACAAGTGAAAAGAGTTGTTATACACAATTACACACTCAGGTTCCTGCATCATGCAATCACTTATTTGTCTCCTTTAAGAAAAGCTCTGAGACAACTAAGAAGGTAATAAATCTTACTGCAAGCAGTCAGAATTGGAGGAGGTGTAGAACAGCTCATAGTGAAGTAATGTCAGCTGTAATGTTTATCACACAGTGCTGGAATGAATTATTTTCCAAACAAGGTGTTTAAAAATTGATATCTGGCAGATGCCAGATATCTCTACACATGCCATGCCTATGTTCTATATTACATCAAACACAGTACTGACATTAAACAGTAATTCAAAGTGTTAATCTGTAGAATCAGTATGTAGAAAGATCTTGTAGCAACTTTGAGACTAATCTGAAAGAAAGAATTTGATAGCATGAGCTTTCGTAGACTGAGGAAATCAGAAGCACCTCAAATGCATCTGAGGAAATATACTTATGTCTACAAAAGCTCATGCTGTCAACTTCTTTCTTTCAGTTAGTCTCAAAGATGCTACAAGATCTCTCTGCATTAAACAGTAATATTAGCAGTTGTAACTGGCAGCAGTAAAGGAGTAATATTTTCATGTAATTGTTTTCTGCTGAATGTATAGGCTTAAGGCTTAAACTAATCAGCAAGTATATCAATGATGTACTGTACTATAGTTGTCTTATTTTCATGAACTTTATAGCACCACTGAGCTTTTCTTTTCTGCATGTGGGAATTATAGAGTTGGAAGAGACCACAAGTGCCATTCTGTTCAACCCTCCCATGCAGAAAGACACAAAGCACTCCTGACAGATGGCCATCCAGCCTGTTTAAAAACTTCCAAAGAAAAAAAACTCCACCTCACTTTGAGACAGCATATGCCACTGTCAAACAGCTCTTACCATCAGAAAGTTATTCCTAATATTTAGCTGCCATCTCTTTTCCTGTAAGTCTGAATCCATTGCTCCTTGTCCTAGACTCTGGAGCAGCAGAAAACAAAGTTGCTCTATCCTCTATATGACATTCCTTCAAATATTTAAACATGACTAAACTATCATGTCACCTCTGAACCTTCTCTTCCCCAGGCTCAACATACCCAGCTCCCTAAGCCATTCCTCAAAGGTTTCCAGACCTTTCACCATTTAGGTATTCCTCCTCTGAAAACATGCTGTTCATATGTTGTCATAGGAATAAAACTATAAAGAAGCCAACTTTGTAATGCACACATTTCTGACCTGACATGGGATACATGTACATTAAAAGAACTGAAGAATGCAAGAAATGAATGTTGGCAGGCACCATCTGGCATTTTTAATAGCAATTTTGAAACTGAATGTCACCAGAAAATATCTTAGGTTACAATTAATTATACAATACGTAATGACTATAAAGAGCCGGAGGGGGAGGAATCATCTTTTTCTAGACTACAGCTCCCATGAGGTTTGGGAAATTGTGGGAAATGTTATCCAAAAAAGGGTAAGTTTTCCAAACTTAATAGTTATTTACCTGGCATATTTACGGGCATATCTGAACTCCTTTACCCTAAAATAGTCACAGGTTTCTAGGATGTATTGATTGATTAATGGATGCCACTGACAAAAGGATGTAATAGGCTGAAGGCACCAGATCCCATCTGATCTTGAAAGCTAAGCATGGTGAACCCAGGTTAGTATTGATGGGAGACCACCAAAGAATATCAGGTGCTGTAGGCTATATTTCAGAGTGAGGAACTGGTAAAACCACCTCTGAATATTCTTTGACCCATGAATGAAAAATTCATGGGGATTGAACTCATCAGTCAATATGCGACTTGAACAAACACATACAAGTCAAAAGTAGATCTAGAAAGTAGATAATGCCCGAGGTGCCAATTACTGGTAGTCCATGGTTGCTGGACTATGTTATACCATGGGGAAGGGTGGTAGCTTGATGTCAGAGGAAATGCTCTGAATGCCAAAAGTTCAGTACCTAGCATCTCCAAACAAGCAGGGGAGAGAATCCTTCCCCAAACCCTGGAAAACTGTAGCCAGAGCAGTGTATGGTCTCTGGGTCAGAGTGCTCCTTGGCAATTCTTAGTTTCTATGGCAGGAAGAGTACACAGTCCTGATTAGTTAGCACTAAATGGTTATATCCTAAGTTCAAGAGACTCCAAAGCACTGGCCCTATCGTTGCTGTTGTTGCATGCCTGCAAGTCATTTCCGATTCATGGAGACCACTAAGGCAATCCTAACATGAGGTTTTCTTGGCAAGCTTCTTCAGAGGAGGCTTGCCATTGCCATCCTCTGAGGCTGAGAGAGTATGACTTGCCAAGGTCACCCAGTGGGTTTACAAGGCCGAGTTAGGAACAATAAAAAAACACAAAGAAACAAAACACCTGTCCTAGAAAGCTTAACTTCCCCACATCTTGACTTTGGGGGGAGGCAAAACTTGCTTTTCCACCTTAGGCAACAGAACATCTAGAGCTCCTACAATCAATATCCTTCAAAACAGCACCCTCCATAAGTGTTAGAATACAACTACCAAATAATAGGAGCTGATGTTTCTCAGCAAATATGGCAGGTGAAATTAGGGGAAACACTCTTCGCTCTTCGCAGCTTGTTGGTTGATCCTTGCATTGTTCTGCTTTGAAAAGAAAGATAAGGCAGTGCAAATTATCACCCCAGCTCAAATCACATCATTTGGTCCAAGATGGCATGATTTCAACATTACATGGTCTTTTGGTTATCAGTGACCCACCTTGAATAGAACGGGAGTTGGTGACTTTCCATGTCAGTGGGTTTTTAATCTGAAATGTAAAGGAACTATCCAAAATGCAGGGTCAGCTCTGGTTAAGACTTGGATGGGAGACCGCCAACAAATACCAGGTGCTGTAGGGAATATTTTTGAGGAAGGAACTGGCAAGACCACCTCTTAAGGACGATTCCTTGCCTAAGAAAAGTCTATTAAGTTAATAGTGTTGACAGGTAACTTGAAGGCACATATACACATGCACACCCAAAACGCTTCAATTATTTCAGGGAGAGAGTTCAGCTTCACTCATAGCTTAGTTCAGACTAAAATCCTGGTGTAGATTCACATCCCCACTCATATGGAATCCACCAGACCTTTCCCTCTCTCTCTTTCCTCTCATTTCTATTTCTATTTGAAATCATTTTGAGCTCTGTTCTGCTGTATCCATGTCCCATTGCCTCCCTGCCTGCTGAAGAACAAACTCTCTCAATTGTTTTCTGCTGCTCCGGAGATTAAGACAAGAAGAACCAGTGGATGCAAAACTACAGGAAAAGAGATTTCACACATAAACCTTAGGAAAGTAAGAGCTGTTAGTCAGCTGAACAGCCACCCTCAGAAAGTGGTGGACTCTCCTTTGGAGAGACTAGATGACCGTTGAGGTCCCTTCCAACTCTTAAGAGTCTCTGATTCTATGAAAAGGACTCAGCCCTATACTGAGTGACTTTGTGGAAGTTACACACTCTCAGCCTCAGAGGAAGGCAAAGGGGAAACCTCCTCGGAACAAATATTAGTCAGAGGTTTAAATAGTTCTAGACATTTGGCCACCAAAATAGCAATCATAAGAAATCTGGAGAGACCCCATGGTGCAATGTTTTGAGTGTTGAACAAAAACTCTTAAGAGATCAAGGTCCAAATCCCCATTCAGCCATGGAAACTCACTGGGTAACTATTGACCAAGTCACACTCTCTCAGCCTCAGAGGAAGGCAAAGGCAAACCTCCTTGGAACAAACCTTTCCAAGAATCCACCCCCCCC